ATATGAGTTGCTGTTCCTGCAACCTTCGGGTGGCATCGTTGTGGCACTGCAGGAGGCCCAGGATGGACATGTCGTCTGCGGAATGGGAGGGGGAGTTGAAATGGTTCGCGACTGGGAGGTGCAGTTGTTTGTTGCGAACCGAGCGTAGGTGTTCTGCAAAGCGGTCCCCAAGCCTCCGCTTGGTTTCCCCGATGTAGAGGAGGCCACAACAGGTACAGCGGATGCAGTATACCACATTGGCAGATGTGCAGGTGAACATCTGCTTGATGTGGAAAGTCTTCTTGGGGCCTGGGATGGGGGTGAGGGAGGAGGTATGGGGGCAGGTGTAGCACTTCCTACGGTTGCAGGGAAAAGTGCCGAGTGTGGTGGGGCTGGAGGGGATTGTGGAGCGGACAAGGGAGTCACGGAGAGAGTTGTCCCTCCGGAAAGCAGATGAGGGTGGGGAGGGAAAGATGTCTTTGGTGGTGGGTCAGATTGCAGATGGCGGAAGTGTCGGAGGATGATGCGTTGGATCCGGAGGTTGGTGGGGTGGTACATGAGGACGCGGGGGATTCTTTTTTGGTTGTTATTGCGGGGACGGGGTGTGAGGGATGAGTTGCGGGAAATGTGGGAGACACGGTTGAGGGCGTTCTCGACCACTGAGGGGGGTTGTTGCGGTCCTTGACAAACGAGGACAACTGAGATGTACGGGAGTGGAATGCCTCATCCTGGGAGCAGATGCGGTGGAGGCGAAGGAATTGGGAATAGGGGATGGCATTTTTGCAGGAAGGTGGATGGGAGGAGGTATATTCTAGGTAGTTGTGGGAGTCGGTGGGCTTGAAATGGATATCGGTTTCTGAGGTAGTTCATTTTGTTGGAATAATAAGAAAACCCACTTACTTCTTGGAAAGTAAAAAACTAAATCAGGATGATTGCATTTTATTGGGCAGAATAGAAGAATGTTTAAGAATTTTTGATCCATTCACCTCACCCTGATTAATATAAATAAACAAGTTTGGATGACATAACAAATAATTAATTCTGAAAATCTAAACATTAGATCAACATTACCCCACGGACAGAATCTAAATGTTAATTATACACACTTCATTGTGAAAACATTTAAAGTGATCTACCAGTATTGAGGTTACAGTGTCATATGTGGTGAGATCTCTGATTTTACACACAGGTAGATTTGCAGTATAGTTAGTCATGTTTAATACAAACCTAGGGTCGAATGTTCCGCTTTGGCAGTGATTCCATTTGAGCTATGTTAACCAAACTTAGTATCTGACCCAACATTCCTATTAGTGGTCCTATTAACTACAAAAGAAAAATAAATGTGTATTTGTAAAAGAAAAAAAATAGGTAATGGGGAAGAGTGAGAGAGAGGAATTAATTGGATATCTCTTCTAAAGAGTTAGCACAGATAACAAAGGAACAATTACATTAGCCAGATCTGCTTGAGTTATATCCTTCCAAGAAATGTGAAATTCAAGTGGAAGTGAACGCTGGCAAAAAAAAACTAAAGAGAAATAAATAAATAAATGGTGGCATAGCCAATATGTCAGACCCATAGTTGCTGTAATTTATGCCAGAACTGTGTCTGAGTGTCATGTGACCAAGGTATCACTATTTCAACTAGACGACCATAATACGTTGCAAGCCTTTTATGGTGTAACACATAAGTAAAGGGGAAACCAGTAGATATAACATATGGATTTCCAAAAGATATTGGATAAGCTGTTACACAAAAAGTGTAATTGCAAGATAAGTTCTCATGGATTTTGGATTATTATTAACGAAGATAGAGGATTAGTTAAATGACACGAAGCAAAGAGTAGGCATAAAAGCAACATTTTCAGGTTGTGAGGTAGTAAGTAATGGAGCGTTTTAAGGAATAATGCTGAGGCCTCAGCTAATTAAAATCTATATTAACTAATAAGATAAAGAAGCAGTGAGTAATATCTCCATGTTGGCTGATGATGCAAGGCTAAGTGGAATCGGATCTTGGGAGAGGAAACAAAGAGGCTGCAAAGATATATGGACAGGTTACGTGAATAGGAGTGAAGAAGGCACATGCAGTGTAATGTAGAGCAGTATAACATTGCCTCACTTAGGTCAAGAGAATATAGAAATGATATTGTTTAAAGACATAAAGCTAGTGTATGTTGATGTTTAGACAGATTTAGGTGCGCTCAGAGAGTTAGCGTGCGAGTATAAGCAAGCAATTATGAACATAACTGGCATGTTAGCTTTCGTAACAAATGGACTGGAGTATCAGCATATAGATCTTATTACATTTGTATAGGGCTTTGGAGAGATTACACCTGGAATACCGCACGTAGTATTGGTTGCGGTTATGAAAGAGTTGAATTATCATTTGAGGTTACGTAATTTGGGCCTATGCTTTCTGGAGTTCAAAAGAATGAGAGATATTCTCATTGAAATATAGATGATTCTAGGTGGACTTGACAGGATAGATACAGAGGATTTTCCTGAGCACTTCTGGAACGTATGAAAACAGTATCAAGAAATGGGGCCAATCATTTCAGGATGAGATGGGGAGAAATTTATTCACTCAATGTGTCGTGAATTGTTTTAATTCTTTATGCCAAAAGATTTCAGATGCTCAATTGTTGACTATATTTAAAATTGAAATAGGCAGATTGGTCTCTCAAGGAATTGAGGGACATAGGGAGTGGGTGGAAAAGTGGGGCTGAAGCTCACCATCAGCCAGAATCATACTGAACCACAGAGCTGGCTTAAACCATAGAATTCCTACAGTGTGGAAACAAGCCCTTCGGCCAAACAAGTCCACATCGAACCTCAGAGCATCCCACCCAGACCCCATCTCCCTATAACCCACCTAATTTACACATCCCTGAACACTACGGGTAATTCAGCATGGCCAATTCACCTAGCATGCACATCTTTGGCTTGACAGACTATATTTTCCTGATCTTATTTCATGTTTTTTTTGTTGGTGAACCTTTCTGATTCCAACGTTACGATCCCACGAGAGACGGATAATGTAAGAAAAATGAAATTCCAGTGACTGACTGAGAGAATCACATAACACAATTATGGGGTCCAAGGCTTTTACTGTAAGGGATAAATAAAATTCTACTCACTGTGTTTGAATACATTCTCTCAACCAAGAGTACATAATGAGGCTCGGCTGACATCAATAACTCCCTTAGGATACCCAAAGCCCTGCTTGATTGTTAGCTCTGGTTGTCTGATTTCTGCTATCAATTTCACAATGTTTATTTACACAAAGTTAAGAGGTTTCAAGTGCTTGCAGTTCCAGGTATTGAAACTTATAAATGCTCTGAAATGATTGGTGTGATGGAAAGTTGTCAAAAAATGTCTGCTTTATAAAAAGTTTTTTTTTTAACATATCCCACTGTCCCTATAGGGATTATTGCTTTTATATAGAGTATATTGGGTGAATAAGCATGAAAGTGCTAAAGCTTGGAAGGGGAGTGTGGGGTCTAAGGGTCATGGTGATTTGATTGGAAAGGCAAGTTTTGGCATAGGGACTATGAGGGGCCATGTGGGTAAGAATGGAGGGAAATAGCCTGGCATGGGATCCATTAGACACTATGGGGATGTAGGTGAAAGGTATAGCCTGGAATGGGGGTGGGGGGAAGATGAGGACCTTTTGAATTTAACTGTAAAAAGACATCCTAATGCAGACTTTTGTTCACAACACATTTAAGGTTCTAAGAACCATAATTCTTTGTAAAAAGCTGGCCTGACTCCATGAAAATGAAATGAATAGGCCATGCCCTATGTTTGCAATGGAATTTTTTCCAATGGTCAAGTTGGAAGAACTGGGTGAGTGTCCTGAACCAATCTGCTCCTTTAAGTAGCCTTGGTGAAAGTCAGAAAGCCTGGTAATGGAGTCAGGAATGCCAGAAACAGGACCATTTATCAGTTACAGGGCTTCTGAGTCATCCTGACTTCATAAATATCCAGTCCTGAGAGTCTTTGTGTTTGTACACAGCCAGGTCAGCTTCCTCTTCCTTGTGTCAAGGTTTTAGCATTTAGGAATCTTATTATTAATAAGTACTAATTTGAGTTTCTCTGTCAATAATAAGCAGGTCACATAGATTTGTCTCCAACAGATTTAATAGGAGGTCACATTCCTTTCTCCAAAATACTTTATTTCACCTTGAATTAAACGGCACTGTATAAAACATAATCTTCTTCTTATAAAGTCCAGCTTTCATATCATACAGCATCAAATCACTAGCAGGCAAGGTCACACAATAGATATGCCCTAAAGGAATATGCAAAGATGATCAGTTGACATTTGTAGTATGGCATGTTATAGTATAAATTCAATTGAGAATGTTTAACTTTTATTAGCTTTCATTATTGCATTGTGGCCAAAGGGGCTCTGTGATGTTTAGTACCAGCGAGAAGGTAAAGTATGGGGCTGTAGTTGAATAGGGAATTGGACATGCCTTCACTGATATTGCTGTTGGCTAAGTTGCTCACAGGACTCATATCTGGGAGTAGGTGGTTTGTGATGAATTCTTGAAGTCCAACATCATGTCCTACACCTCACTCAGTAGATTTTAGCAACTTTGAAGAACTTTTGGAACTACCAAGACTTAGACAATCACAGCAAAAATAGCAGCCTGAAAGTAGTTGATGATACCTTCAGTAGTGTTGTTGAGATATCTTTCCTGCTCTCAAGTATATGTTCATCTGAGCTTGTTTAGGCTGAAGGGATGGCTGAAGGGTTCGGCTCCGTAGTAGCCATGTTGTTGTGAAGATTGATTGACATCATGACTCGACACTTTGGATTTTTTCAGTGGACTTTCCTAACATCCTCACTTAATGACATCTAACATTGCTTGCTGTGGAAGAGTGTCCATGCCATGGGTGCCATTTTGGTGCCATAATTGCAGTTAAAGTGCAAAAAAAAATGTGCAAGGAGTTGAAATTTGTGATATTAGAGATTGATGTTTACTAATTAAGAATAATTATTTTCAACCAAAATTTAGCTGGAGAATCAAACCGACACAGGCGTGTAGGTGCTAGTAAATGGAAAACTTCAGGACTGGGACAGACTAACACAGCACCATCTCCAAGTGGATCTGTCTCAGTAAGTGGTTCTTATTCACTATAAGGTTTCAAGGCTATTTCAATATTTCTAATCTAACAAAATCACTAAATTATGTAAGGTCATTCTTTTACACTGTATTAGTATGGGTATTTATCATCCTCACCAATATATTTTACATTACACAGGAAACCCAATTAATTAGATATAAGAATAAGTAATGTACAATGTGGTAACATTTGGCTTTTGATCATTTCCACATCGAAACCATTTGCAATGAGCCTCATTTATCAGAATATAATTCCACTGTCAAGAGCAAACAGGTTAACAGTTTGATGAAGTAGAGAAGACAGGCACAGGCTAATTTCAGTCATAGTAAACTATCCATTTCACTTGATATAGATTAATTCTCAACAAAGATTCAGGTAGCTTTTAACCAAAAGAAATCCGACTATTTGTTGTCACGAAAATCTGAAAATAACTTTTGTCAATATTAGCATCTGCGTGATCGATGCTTAGTAATGAATTTCCTTAACTCCTTTTGTAAAGGCCAAAACAGTATTTGTTAAGATAATAGTATGAAGAATGCCACACAAACATGATGAACATTCATATACTAATATTGACATTTGTAATTTCTAAACAGTAGTTACTCAGGTTTTTGCTTCCTTATGACTAGACTCAAGGTCGAAAGACTATTCTTATTTCCACTGAGGCCAAAAAGGAATTGCTAAAACAAGCTAAAGCTGCTAAGGAAGAACGAAAATCAGAACTGGACTCACGGCATGGCTACCTTATATCTAACTTGGCAGATGGAACAGGTCTGGAAGAAACAGCTGTGCAGGACTTTATTATTGCTGATGAAAAGGTATGACTCAATAGTTCCTGTTGCGAGTAAGACAGAAGAATTGAATTGTTTCATGGTCCTCCTCTTCTGTCCATAACAGCTGATTTTTCAATAATTTTTTGGTTATCTTATTTCTTTTTCCTTTTGAAATAGACCATGTTGTGTTTCCCCCAAACTGTGCTTGTGAAGTCCAATGTTTAAATGACCAGCAACAAATTCTCTTAAGGGTTAAGACAAGGGATGATTTACTCAAGCATTCAAACCCAGGGGATAAACTTTCGCAACTCATACACATCCACAGAAGTGAACAAGAAAGAATAAAGAGAAAAGAAAAATATTACAGTTATTAAGGGTGTTAATGAGCATAATCAGAGTCCAGTAATTCAATGTCCAGTGAAGGATTTTGCAGTTGGCTCTTCTGGCAGAATTCCTCTTTCATAGGAGCTCAGATGCAGGTTGGTGTGGTTACAGGCACAGCAATATGATTTTTGTAGACTGGGGATTAGTTCGTTTTTCAGGTGAAATTCAGAATTACTCCAAGGGATCAGGTTTCAAGAGAGGTTGAGGACTTGAGGCTGGCTTTAGCATTTTTTTTCACTCATTGGATGCAGGCACCACTGGCTGAGCCAGCATCTATTGTTCATCCCTAATTGCCCTTGATAAGGTAGCAGTAAGCTGTTTATGAACCACTGCAGTCTGTCTGTTGTAAGTATACTCACCATGCCATTAGGGAGGCAGTTCCAGGATTTTTGACCTGACTGAGCCTAGAGCTGCTTCTTGCCTCTTCTGTTTAAACATCAGTCTCTGCTAAGACTTCACAGCTGTATAATTAAAGCAATCCAAAAATCACCTAGCTGCCAATTGTGACAAATTTGCCCAATTAAGGATCAACTCCCACCTCCTCTCCCCCCACCCCCCAGAAGAATTTTACTGGCACCAGGAGGGGCTGTTTCCATCATGTAGAGAAATTTCCATGTAAACTCTGTTGGCCTCACAACAAGTTTTTGGGGACAACGAAGCCCAGTAGTTGTCAACCCCATGGTGACAACATTGCTGTTAGAAAGTCCTCTACTTCCAATTGCCAAACACTTGCCTGCTTGGCTGTGGCATACTTAAAACAACCCTCAAGTGGTTACTTGGTAGTATAGAATGTAAGGAAAAAGGAGAGAAACTATTCCTATTGGTGGAAAGATTGAGAACCGCAGGGCACAAATTTAAGGTAATTGGCAAAAGACGCATGGTGACATGAGGGAAATCCTTTTCATGCAGCTGGTTATTAGGAAACACTGCTTGAGAGTATGGTGGATGTAGGATGAATTGATGCTTTCAAAAGGACAGGGGGTGCATGCTCTCAGATGTTGCTGATTGATGAATGGTTTGAGGAACAAGTGACAAACCATCACCAGGTTACCACTCTGAATTTCATGTTGTACCATCTAGTTTCTACATCAATGTGGGAAATTTTCTTCAAAGTCAGTGACAAGCCCTGTTGCTTTGTTAACTGCAATATCCAAGCTATTATGTGTAAGGGAAAGGCATTTTCTTTACAGAAATTAGTATATATAGCTCAGACCAAGTCACTGTAACTCTATGTGTGACTATTTAGTGCTGGTCTACGTTATGCAGTACGTTACACTCAAATTTCTCAAAGCGTTTAATGTAATCTATTATTTTTTCAAGGACAGTTAGTTTTATTTACTTCTGCAGAAGCAGTCAGTATCATTATATTTGTTAACACTGTATACTTCTCAATAACGAGCAAACATTTATTTTGGATGTCAATCCAACTGTATTTTTCATAATTAAACCTTCCTTTCCAGTTTCACATGATTGAAGAATTCTTCGCACCAAATGGGTCTAAAAAATTACTATTTTACTACCAAGATACAGTGAGAGTAAGTGTTTATTGCTGGAATTTAAAATATTTAGACACATTCATTAACAGGGGTTTAATTAAATGCATTCTGTTTTAAATCATAGTTACAGAGAGCAGTGTGAACACTTCTCTGCTTGAATGCAACATTCTAGCTAATGCTGAAACCTAAAATCTAGAGCCATCTGATAGTTTTTTTTAAGTGTTTGTCTGAAACACAATTTAGTCATCTGCCTAACTAAAATATCCACTGATTGAGACTTGTTAAATTTTATGTTTGAATGTTCAACCATGTTTAAGTAATTAATAAAATTCTAAATGATTGATTTTCAGTATATTTACAAATCTATTATTTGATTCATCAGATCACAGGATTGCAACATTTAAGTGCAGATATGTCCAAGGGGGTGAATCAGAAAAGACTGTTCATTACTGATGGTTCTACTGAGGTAAAATTCAGTTTATATTTTCATGATTAAAATTTTGTATATAACATTTGAAATTGTATTTTCATTATATTTAGTGCTAATATGTTAAAATTTTCACCAACAACAGATTAAAACAAAAACGTTTCTAAATATGTGGAAAACTCACACTGGGGTCTTTCACTTTCTCTTGTGTCCATTTTTCAGGGTTTGCTTGGAACTTGTTTATTCTTTCTTAGAACTACTGATAAAAGCATCAGCACAGCTAATGTGTTTCAGGTCAGTATTACTCTGAAAAGTCAATGTTAAAGGAAATACTGTGGCACAGTTTTTATTTACTAACAACATCTGTCAAAATACAAAGATGGCATGCACCCCTCCTGTATGGTAGAAATCATTTTAATGAAGTCCCAGAAATTCCTTTATCTGGTATCTTATCAGAGTCAACATCCTGATTCCTTTAATAGAACTACTAATACTTGATAGATAGCGGATGATTTCATGTAAATGTTAAGTGTCCATACAGCAACATAATTCAGAGGAATTTATATACAGTTTTAGTGTTGTAATTATTGTGTTTTGTACTATATACATATTTTAGTTTCAATGATCTTGTAAGCATATATTTTATCCTCTAAGATGTGAAGTGTATCTTTTACAGCCCAGTATCCAGTTAAATGATATAATGATCCAGGATTCTAGTTGAGATCCTATGCTCTGTACACTGGCTATGCATTTTCCTTCTTTTATGAGAGATATGCTTAATCAAGTGTAACACAACTTTAAACTAACAATATATTTTATTTTCTGTGAAGTACATAAGTTGACAGCATGCAGTTGCTTTCCTACGCTCCTCTTTATTAAAAGGAAACTCGAAAGATATAGACCCCTCTTCGTGCTGAGGTATTCCAAAACTTTTCAGTCTGATGAAAAAAAAATCAGTGAATTGAGTTTGTTTCTCCACAGATGCAGCTCCACCTGCTGAGTATTCTCACATTTTCTGTTTATACTTTTGATTTTCACAGTAATTTGCTCTGAACCTAGTTAGTCTAGATATCTTATTACTGCTTGATAAGGCGCTATTGCCCACATTATAGGATTTGAGACACAGGATCTCAAAATGTTTGCCATAGCTAAGCTCCTGATGTGAACTTGGAATAGGGCAATTTATGGCCACAGAGATATCTTAGAGCAACCTTTCCAGTAGAATGACATGAAATGCTTGAGAGGGTATCTCTGATTTTTTGAATATCCGACTTATGAATGCTTGTACTTACAAACGTGATCCCGCACATTGTTATAATTTTAAAGATCCGACATAGGAACATTTCCTGTACTTACAAACAGCAACTTTACATTGGCCTGCATTGTGTTCTGATTTGCGAACAAATTGACTTGAGAATGGGCTCCAGAACGGAATCTGTTTGTAACCTGGGGAGTGGCCGAACACAACAATTTCTGTCGCTCCCTCTAAGTTTTTCACTTATGAATTATCAAGTTCTAAAGTGGAAATTTTGGATTGAACCTTAGAGGAATATTATGAGTTTGGAATTTAAAATCAGCAACATAAGTAAAATTAAAATAATTTGAATAACATGTATTAATTTGCTTGTTAACCTGTGCTTGAACAATTGGAAATTATCTATACAGGGCTATATCAAAAATAATAGTGCAAAACTGGTACTTGGCATAGTGAAGTCCTGACTGGGTCTATACTTGTCTTGGTACACTCTGCCAGAGTTGGGAACTGAAACCTGTCTCCATAAATTGCCTTGCATTAGTTATTATGATGAGATTGAAAAATGAGCTCCTAATCTTAGTATATTGCTGACTGGAGAATACATAGGCTGCTTACCATGTTTACTTCATAAGGCAGAGATCAGCTTCTGATATATATTGGCTAAAACCACTTGGTCAGATTTGTTTTCACTATTTACATTATAGAATTAAAGACACAGAAATAAATTCAACTGCACAAAAATGTAGGATCAATCTACAGAGGTTAATATATCTTTAACATAGGAACAGAAGTAGCCATTCAGCCTGCCAAGCTTGTGCTGCTATTCAAGATCATGTTTGACCATTTATCTGGAAGCCATTTTTCTGCATTATATCGCTATTTCTTGATGTTATCACTCTCCATAAATCAATCAATTTCTGTCTGAACATGCTTAATGATTGAGCTTCCACTGAATTCCAAAGATTCTCCACTCTCTGAGTGAAAAAATCCTCCTCTTCTCAGTCTTAAAAGGCCTACCCTCATGTTCTTCTAACAATGATATTCTGACAAAGCTTGTTTGGTAACAGGATATTTGGCTGCCATGGTGACATTTGCTTCTTGACAGGACTTCAATTCGGGACATCGTTTGTGGACAATGCAAATTTTATTCCATCTATACTATACACCTGGAACTGCCATTTGTGCTATCATTACTTTCATTTTGCAGCCATGTTTTTGAATTAAGCACACAGAATAACAGTCTGTGGACTTTATGAGGGGTGATCTCTGGATAATACTCCTCCCTTCCGGCATTATTATGATTTGGCAAGAATAAATTAGAATAATCCATTCTACCTTTTATTAGTGTTAGAGTTGACGTTTTGAGTCCAGTGACGCTCCCTTCACAGTTCCTCCAATAATTTCTGTTTTTCATACATAATTTTGTAATTAATTTATCTAAAGAAATTGGAACATGTAATTTTGGTGTCTATTTGCTAGTTTAACAAAAGTTTGTTTATGGATGACACAATTATATTTTACATATTCTCCAATAAGTTGCTAGATCTGACTTCTGTAAAGCCATAACCATTAGGTTTTGGCTCGCACGGGATTCTGTCTGTTTATGATAACTGCTGGGAAAATAGGGGAGATACCTTTAAGGAAGCTTACGCGAACATGTTTGATAGATGGAGTTTTTGCAGGGTGGATCCCAAGAGGTTGAAAAGGCAAGTATTTAAGAAGCCATGTTTAATTTTGCTCACTTGTTTTTTTTTTGATGCCATGTAGTCATGCTAAATTAAGCATGAAAGTGTTCATTTAAATCTATATTTGAGCACAATGTAAGCCAAAAGACAACAAATATCAGTTTAAAACTAAGTTTGACATTAACAAGAACAGATGTGGAAGTCCATAACATATGGTGGGTAAATTGTGAGAACAATGAGAAAGTGGACTCCCTACTAGGGAATAGAGATTGCCACAAGAACTCAGACTTTTAAACAATCCCCAGAAAAAGAAACTGACCAAAAATAAATACTTTTTGATTTCACATCCCACTACAGTTACATTAGAGTTGGAATCAAAAATTAGACTGCTTTCTTTTTGACTTTGCCATTGTTTCTAACAATTCTGCTTCTATGGACTCAATAAACGTGCATAGCAGAATCCATTCAGAAAATTAGTACTCAAAACTAGTTTTATTGTTTTATTTATTTCGAAGGAAAAATCAAATCTAAGCAGAGAGCTTTGAATTGATATTAATTTGAAAATAAATGAAGCAAAAAGAGGAATGACAGCACAAAATCTTTAAGCAGAGCATTAGTAGGATCTGAGAAAATGATTCCATTATTCAGGGAGGAATCTTATAAGGGTCTGAGTAATGGGGGCTATAGCAAGATATGTTGCAGAAGTTGGCGACAAGTGCAGAGAGGCTTATCTCTACGTCAGGAGCAACTCAGGCTACCTTTTATGCTTTTTACATGCAAGTTCACACATGGCAACAAAGAGTTGTCAATTGTTGGTGATCATTGCTGGTTAAACACCTTATTAACAGCCCAACCTGCCTCATTAATATTCAGCATCTTACCAGACAAGCTTGATGCTGGGAAATCTTGACGAAACCTGAGCGTGTAACTGCTGTTGTTAAGGTCCTCACTTACTCTGAACCATTCCATGTTGGACACTGGACACCAACATCCTGAGCACACTCTATGGGCACTGGTCATATGCACCTCATTGGCACATATTGGATGCCAATCTCTAAGAACCTTCATGGCATCTTCATGGAACCTTCATCTCTGATCTACATACTGGATGTTTCTGCCCTTCAATGATGCACCTCAGGCTGCACTAGCAACTCTCATTGTAATGATGCAGCAAGGGAACTATGCATTCAGGAACACACACCCAGCTCCTCAACCCAAATACATCTCTGGACTCTTTGCTTGTTGTTATATTACTCACTCACTCTGAACCCACCTGGATGCTCTCAGCATCCCATTGCCTTGTTTTTTGGTGCTTTGTCCCCTCAGCCAGAGATATGAGATATATTACTTCTGTCTTAACTTGCTGTTTCATACAGACATAAAGCTAGAAAGTACATTATAGTTGCCAGCAGGCCTCAGTCAAGTCAAGGACGATTGTGTTCACTCATAGGTTGTGCACAGTAAGTCAAGGATAGCCTCTGATACCTGTTTGAGGCGGTCAGAGTCAGGCATATCCACTCTTAAAGGGTGAGGAGCTGAATGTTGGGCAGACCATTTATTTGCTCTGTCATGGGCTCTTTTCGTGCTGGAATGAGGGAGTGGCAGTTATTATAGATCATAGAATCCCTACAGTGTGGATACAGGCCATTTAGCTCAACAAGTCCACACTGACCCTGAGAGCATCCACCCAGACTAATCCTCCTATAACCCACCTAATCTACACATTCCTGAACACTATGGGAAATTTAGCATGGCCAATCCACTCAGCCTGTACATCTTTGGACTGTGGGAGGAAACCAGACCACCCAGAAGAAACCCACACAGATGCAGGGAGAACGTGCAAACTCCACACAGACAGTCACCCGAGGGTGGAATCGAATCCGAGCTCCTGGCACTGTGAGGCAGCAGTGCTAACCACTGAGCCACCATGCCAGATGAAAATTTGTGGCACATTTAATACTTTGCTGCATGTGGGGAGGTGACTCAAGAGAGGGAACAGACAGCACAGAAGGCGTGCAGGGTGTATCTACAATGTTCGGAGCAAATGTCAGCAACAATGCAGGGCAGCTCTGGACTGACAGTACTTCTCTGATGTTCCATGGGCCTGATTTGATGGATACCCACTGAGTGAATTGTTCTTGGAATGGCACATGATATGATTGGGCAGAAATCAGATGTGAGAGACACAATAGAGGTATGGTGGATCATTAATGAGATGAGTTTAATAAGATACAGTGAGAGAACCTGCTAGGCCTCATGGCAACAAACTGTCGAAAAACTTGATGCAACTCAGACTCAGGCCACAGTGTTTAATAATGCAATCCTGTAGAGATCAGTTTGCAGTGGAGATCAGTTGAGTTAATGGCCAAATTGCTCACTATAAGAGAATTTTCCTGGAGTGATATGTGCAGAGGTGCTTTCATGATCTTTCAGATATCTCTATTTTAGAAAGATAGAAAAAATTTTTAAAAAGAGGGTTCATTAAAGTGTCAAAAAAGAGATTGTTCTGTGTGTTAGTCTCCTTTTATTAACCTTTTCGACAATTGTCTTTACAGCGGAGTTGGTTCAATTAATTAATAGAACATAGAACATAGAACAGTACAGCACAGCACAGGCCCTTCGGCCCATGATGTTGTGCCTAAATTTACCCTAAACCTAAGGTCTATTTAACCTCCACCCCTACCTTATACTATCATCTATATGCCTATCTAATAGCCGCTTAAATGCCCCTAATGAAGCCGACTCCACTACCCTCTCTAGCAATGCATTCCACGCCCCTACCACTCTCTGAGTAAAGAACCTACCTCTGACGTCTCCCCTATATCTACCTCCACTCACTTTAAAACTATGCCCCCTCGTAATAGCTACCTCCACCCTAGGAAAAAGTCTCTGGCTGTCCACTCGATCTGGTAGTAATCTAATGTGGTAGTGCTTGTGAGAGTTCTTGTGAGATATTCTCAGTTAAAATTTCAGATTGTTATCAATTTATGAAATTAACATTTATACAAATAGTTCGCTGTTCAGCTTCGTCAATGTTTATAGTATTATATATTCATACGTTAAAACCCTTTTTCTGCTTAGGAGGTAAATTTTGGCATGCTCAATTGCCCTGATGGGAATCTGCTTCAAGGGCTAGAGAGACTCTTGGCCAGTATAATGGTACCAGCACTGCGATCTCAAGAGGTAATCTTTCCCAAGTATATTTCATGACAACTTTGTTTTTTGTGGAATGATCTCAATGTAACATTTTGCTCACCTTTCTCCTTGTGTGGAACAAAAAGTGAGGCAGATTGGTAATCATGTTTTATGAAATATATTAAAATGTAAGCAAAGGGAAGGTCACCGTAGTCCTACTGGACCATAGGGCTACCTCCTCCTTAGAGAGAGAGACGACTGGAGGTAGTTTAACCTGAGGGCCATCACACCCCAGTTGATGGGAGAGGTTGAGAAGGAGAATCCTTCATGTTGACCTGAGTCAGTGTGGAAATTGAACCCATGCTATTGGTATCACTCTGAGTCACAATCCAGCCATCCAGCCAACTGAAATAATTGACCCGCTAAAGTGTAAGTTCAAGCAAATGAAATAAGTACAAGCCTGCTCCACTGTTTAATAAAATCATGGCTAATCTGATTGTAACTCAAATCCACATCCCTGCCAAGGCCTGATAACCTTTCACCCCTCGCTACCAAGAATTTATCAACCTCTGTCTTAAGTCTTATTCAAAGACTCTGCTTCCACTGCTTTTTCAAGAAGAGTATTTTAAAATGTTATGGGCCTCTGAGAGAAAAATAAAAATCTCCTCATCTCTGTCTTAAATGGGTGTCAACTTATTTTTAAACTGTGACTCTAATCCTTGATTCTCCACAAGAGAAGGCATATTTTCCACATTTATCCTGTCAACTTCTAAGCTACACTGGATACAAGCCTAGCTTGTCCAACCTTTCTTCATGAAACAATACCCCATGCTTCCATTCCAGATATAAACCTAGTGAACCTTCTTTAACTGCCTCCAACACATTAACTTTCCTCATTAAATAATGGGACCAACGCTGTACATACTGTGCCAGATATAGTCTCACCAGTGCTCTGCATGACTGAATCATGTTATTTTTGTTAATTTCTTTTGCACTGAAAGGTAACATTCTATTAGCTTTCCTAATTATTTGCCATATCTCCATTTAAATCTTTTATGATTCCTGCATGAGAACATCCAGATTCTGCAGTACCTCAGGTCTCTGCAAAACTGCTTCTTTTTCAACAATTTCTGGATTTCTCACATTATTCTCCATTTGCCAGATCTTTGCCCACTCATTTTCATTATCAAAATGTATTTGTAGACTCCTTGTGTCCTCTACAGAACTTACTTTTCCACATATCTTTGTGTCATCAGCAACATTTCCTCTAAGGCTCCAAGGTTCCATGGGTCATTGGCATCAGTGCACCATTCATAGCATTGACTTCCAGTTCCAGGAGTTGCTACTGTGCAAGGACCGTGGAAGCCTGTGCTGGGGACACGTCCACATTCTTTCTCAACTGAGGATTCCCCAGCTCCGTTGTCGACAGGGCCCTCAATCCGGTCCGACCCATCTCCCGCACTTCTGCCCTCACCCCTTCTCTTCCCTCCCGCATCAGCGATAGGCTTCCCCTTATCCTCACCTACCATCCCACCAGCATCCACATCCCGAAGATCATCAGACACCATTTCTGCCACCTCCAGCAAGATGCCACCACCAGACACATATTCCCCTCCCCTCCCTTGTCTGCCTTCCGCAGGGACCGTTCCCTCTGGGACAACCTGGTCCACACTTCCTTCACCCCCAACACCTCCCCACAGCCCTACAGCACCTTCCCCTGTAACCGGCGAAGGTGCAACACCTGCGCATTTACCTCCTCCCTCCCCAGTATCCAAGGGCCCAAACATACCTTCCAGGTGAAGCAACACTTCAGCTGCACTTCCCAGAAACTAGTCTACTGCATTCGCTGCTCACAATGTGGTCTCCTCTACATTGGGGAAATAAAGCGTAGACTTGGTGACCGCTTTGCAGAACATCTATGTTCTGCTCGCAAAAAAGACCCTGAACTACCTGTTACCTGCCACTTCAATGCACTATCTTGCTCCCTGGCCAACATCTCTGTCTCCGGCTTGCTACAGTGTTCCAGTGAAGCCCAACGCAAGCTGGAGGAACAACACCTCATTTTCTGCTTGGGGACCCTACAGCCCTCCGGACTCAATATTGAGTTCAATAATTTTAGGGCTTAAACTGTCCCATGTCCCAGCCCCCAACCCCACACACTAGGCCTTGTAACCACATAGCCTGCCACTACACACCCCCTGTTGTTAGTCACTAACAGTCCCCATTAACAACTATTCAACCTCCCAGCCTGATTGTTAGCAACTCCTTTGTCTGTCCAACTGTCTTTCTCTCTCTTTGGGCTCTTTCCTATCGTTTACTCCCTACCCCACCCACCTCCCTATTTTCTGCATATAAACTGACGTTTTCCCAGCCACCATCAGTTCTGAGGAAGGGTCACTGGACCTGAAACGTTAACTCTGTTTTTTCCTTCACAGATGCTGCCAGACCTGCTGAGCTTTTCCAGCAACTTTGTTTTTGATCTAGATGGCAAGAATTCCCATCATGAAAGTTGGAGTGGTCACCTGATGACTCCAGCTCACTGCTTGCCTCTCAAGAAGCCTACCATAGATACCAGTCACCAACATCTTGGGGCATACTCCAGGGACAGCAACTCCATGGAACCTACCTCCATGGAAGTTGGCGTCAGACACATACCAGCTTCATTGAATCATTGTGGCATATCTCCAATCCACTTATAGTATGGTTCTACACTTCAATGCTGCACATTAGAGTGCACAATACCTATTATTGGAATGCTGCTACAAGGATATGTTGCATGCAGTGACAGGCACCCAGCTCAAGGATTGGACCAGGCTGCATCTCACTTGCTGTCTTAGTGCTCATGCATTTGGTGCTCACAGCATCCCTGCTTTGCTTTTCCTTAAGCAATTTTCCCTCTTGGCCACACGTATACAAGCTCACAGCACTTTAGTCTTATCATGCAGATACAAAGCTTTTCATGCTGATCAGCAATTATCAGTCAAGGTGAGGACACATGCATAGGTTCCACTTCTGAGCGATGGGAGGTCATTCAAGGGCAATTGCATCAATCAGGCACTTAGACAGTGCAGCTGGAAGTCATCTATAATCATAGCATTGTGTGTGAGCAGTGCCAGCAGTGTCCAACTGCATGGCTGAAACTGCTGGCCACAAACAATCTTGACCATGTCATTGATCCATGGAAATTTTTAAAAAATTCGTGGGATGTAGGTGTCACTGGCTGGCCAGTATTTATTGCCCATCCCTGGGTGTCCTTGAGAAGGTGATGGTGAGCTGCCTTCTTGAACTGCTGCAATCTATCTGCTGTAGGTTGACACACAATGTCATTTGGGAGAGAATTCCAGGATTTTGACCCAGCAACATGGAAGAAATGACAATATATTGACACGCCAAGGTGGTGTGTGGTTTGGAGGGGAGATTGCAGGCGGTGGTTTTCCCAAGTATCTGCTGCACTTATCCTTCTAGATGGAAGTGATTGTAGGTTTCAAAGGTGCTATCTGAGGATCTTTAGTGAATTCTGTAAACAATCTACCTTGTCATTTCATGATGGAGGGAAATTCATTGACACCATTGAGGGTAGGTGTTCCTCAGAGCAGAATCCTGCAACTATAATCTCTTGGTGCTGAGATGATACACCCTTTAACAACAATATTTATCTTCCTTTGTGCTAGAATTGATTTCAAGCACTGGAGAGTTTTCCCATTGCTGCTCATTGACTTCATTTATATATAAATAAGAGTGTGGGTTGCAGGAGTAGTGCATTAGCTGTATATTTTGTGAGTCACAGATACCTCTTTTAAATTTACCTGTGATTACTTCTCCATCATAGAAATGTGGCATCAATGGGTATCGGGGGCAAATGTTTTGCTGGTTGGAAGCATACCTGGTATGTAGGAATGTGGTTGTGGTTGCTGGAGGCCAATCATCTCAGCTCCAGGACATCTCTGCAGGAGTTCCTCAGTGTAGTGCACTAAACCCAACCATGGGCTTTTCAGTGTCAAACTCAGTTAACTGTTATCCTATGTCAATGCCAGTGAATTTTTGCAATGCAATTTGAAGCTGGCTGAATGGCTTCGGTGGAACCCAATGTGGGTTTAATAAAAAGATATTGATGCATACACACCAGTAAATAGTATAGTTCATGATTTCTCCCAGACCTTCACTGACAGGCCTATAATTGGCTGAGTTAAATTTATCATGTAATTTCTAGAATTCTTGTCATTGAATTCTTGTTGAGCACTGTGTTTCAGGAGAAGATTATTTTAGTTCATGACATGAATATAAACACCTCAGCTGCACCACTTCCAACAGACCATCCAAATAGTCTTCAATGAAGTCTGATATTCTGCAAATCATTTCATCACTGCTCTTAATTCTAAAACATAAGCTGTTTTAAAATGAGCAGCTGATGTCTTAAAAACTGTTGCCCAAATGATTCTCTTGCTCATCCACTTCTTCCATTAATGGAAGACATGCATTGAACAGATTCTGTTTCAGAAGGTCGCATATCTGCATTATTTCTGCCTCCATAACAATGTTTTATTTCATATTGCCTCGTCTCATTTCTTCTGAATCCCCCATTCATGCCTTTGGTATCACTGGAGAATTCAATTCTGGCTAGTCTCCCACATTCTATCTTCTGCAAACTTGATCATCAAAAACTCTGCTGTGTACCCTTAACTGCACTCACTGACCTACAATGGCATCTGGTCAAGCAACACCTTGATTTTAAAATTCTTGTATTTATTTTCAAATCCCTCCATTGCCTCACTCCTCTGTACTTTTATCTTCATCAGATATTTATCTTTCAAAATATCTGCACTCATCCTAGTCTTTCTTGAGCACCCTGAGTTTTAATTACTGTGCCACTACTGGCATTGCCTTTTGTTGCCTAGCCCTAAGTTCTAGAATTCTCTTCTGTTGCCTCTCTACCTTGGCTTCCTCTTTTAAGTTACTCCATAAAACCTACCTCTTTGACCAAACCTATGATTATCTCGCCTAATCTCTCCTTATGTGGCTCAGCGTCATATGTTGTTTTAAAATTTTCTTGTGAGATATTTTGGTTCTTTTATGTTCCAGATGTTGTTAAATATAAGTTGTTTTAAGGCTTTGCTGAATCCAGTGAATTTGGTCTTCTTCTACAGTATCACAATGGATTATGGGATCCTTACTCTAGTTTTTTTTGTACCCTTTTTATATGTTATAGAAACTAATGAGTCATTATGTCTGACGCTGGTAATTTGAGCCCTGTGCATGATTACTTTGGTTTATTATTTTTGTCAGTGAACTGAATAATAAATTTTACAGTAAACATTATTGGCATTGCAGATATATAACAGCACGCCAGGAAATTTTAGTTTAGCTAAAATACAACACAAATACTCTAATGAAATGCTTTAATGCTACAGTTGCTAGTCAATATTTTAAATGAATTACTAATATATTAATTTTTTGTTATTTTCTTACCAATGAACAGAATTGGGGATCTGTTAAAGATGGATTAAAGAATGCCCAGATTCAGGAGTTCCTTGAGTCCTTAGACAAATTTGTTAGCAATTTGTCCTCTGCCAGGAAAAATATGGAGCGTCAAGTAATTCTTGAGGAAGCAACCACAGTATACAATTTTGACAATTTGCATGGCCCTGCAGACTATTTGAATGCAGGTATCAAAAACGTTTTATTTAGTGCTATTCTTGTTTTCTATTTCTAGTTCTTCACTCAGTCATTTGTTTTCTTTGTAATTTTCAGAGTTTGATGTAATAAGAAAGCATGCATGTACACTCTTTTTGATATTTTTGTTCAGTAAATGGTTTGATTTATTAAGGAAGATTAATATTTTAACTGACTTAAAGTTTTCCTGAAAGTTCAGATCGCAAGACTTTTAATTTATTAGTGCCAGTAGAGCTTTATTAAAAAATCAAATTTATTTTATTTCATCAAATGGATACTGTGTTATTTAGTCTTTCCATCATTTTGAAAACACCTAGTTAATACTATTGTTAGAATTGCACAGAAAGTGACTTTTGGGTAAATTCTTATGCCATTACTAAGCTTGAAAAATTTATGGACTACATCTCAGACTGGCATCTTTCAGTGAATCTCTTCATGTTGGTTGAAAGGAGGGCAACTAGCTTACGCGCAATCAGTGAGTGCCTCAGGTACTTTAGATGATAGGATATCATTCTGCCAGTAGGATGCCTAATACTACTTACATGTAACAAGACAAACAAGTATTATCAACTAATAAATTATTTGTATTTAAAGAGGAGTGAGCCAGGAGAGGATATGGGAGAGTAGGTGGGTCATTGTCTGAAGTTAATTGAAATAAAACTCTCAGTTAGACTCTATCTAATGTATTCAATTTCTAGAACTTAGTAGAAATTAGAATTAATAGAAATTCTAGAAAATCTGGTGCCAACACATGATTGTGAAGTGGAGGAAAATGCTAAATGCTACCCAGGAGCCCACTTGGATCCATTATGCAAGATGATGTACTGTCTGTTTCTTTTGTATGTAACCAATTGACATATATGTTTTCTACAATACTCTTATTTGATGGCACGTATATTATAGTTTAAGCAGTATAAACAATGTGTGGCCTGCCTATTAACGTGTGATCAATATTTGAATGATCCAATTCTTGTGCCATCCCCCTGAATGCCACCCCCCCACCCCACCCAACCACCACCACCACCATCACCCAGTCCAGAAGGTTTGTGTGTGTCCATTTAGATGTCAGAACCCTCATTTTGTTCCATGCATTAGTCTCTGGACACACGCAGTGTATGGAATTCAGCTCGGACCCCTTGGTACACTGTCATAGTCTAGCAAACAGTTAAACCTTAGAAGTGGAAGGGTGAAGTAAATCAGTTAAGAACTAAATCTACAGACAATTGCCTACTTGCCTGTTTACATTTATATTTTGGGAGATATTTGACTTTCATGAGGAGAAGTTGTTCCCTTCAAATTGACTTTTAGCTAAGCAGGACAATGGGATGAATGGTAGGTTAGAGCTACAGCATGTTAATAGGCTGAGTGCACTGAAATTGAAGTGCTGAAATTAATTCTCCTGTCCTGCATATATACTTGAAATAACATCAATTTTCTCATAACCCAATTGAGCGCTGACTGATCCCTTGTATTTCAACAACCTGCCCGTTATTTCCAACTGTTTCCTGCTGACCCCAGGTTCTCAACCATCTACCCATCAACTTCCTGAACTATTCCTTCCTCCAGTTCAGGGCCATCACCCCTGAATCCTGGTTGACTGAGAGTAGAGCTTTAGAGTTACTGAGGTCTCATGGTTCATGCAAGTGGATACTTCTACAACATGGTCTTAAACAGGGTTTCATCTCCAGTGCCATTCCATGGAAATAGGAAACTGTGAATCACAATTTCATTTCTTGAAATCTGCACAAAAGATCCAGGGTAGGTCCAAAAAATTGAAAGGCCACAACATGTGTCCATGTTGTAATTCCAGTTTGTTCTTCAAAGATGTTAACTGTGGCACTGCAACTTGTCTCCTTGGATGACGAGAACAAATTTCCATCATTTCCATCAGTTTTATGGAACTTTATTTAGGCCACACTTGGAATATTGCTTCCTGTTCTGGTCACCACACTACCAGAAGGATGTGGATGCTTTGGAGAGGGTACAGAAAAGGTTTACCAGGATATTCCCTGGTAGGGGGGATTTTAGCTAAGAAGGAAGGTTGTATAGACTAGATTTGTTTTCACTGGACTGCAGGAGGTTGAGAGGCAACCTAATAGAAGTTTGTAAGATTGTGAATGGCATGGATAGAGTGGAAGATATGAGGCTTTTTTCCAGGGTGGAAGAGTCAAATACCAGGGGTCACAGGTTCAAGGTGTGAGGAGGGAAGTTTAAAAGTGATGTGCAGAACAGGCCTTTCACACAAAAGGTGGTGAGTGCCTGGAACATGCTGCCAGAGGAGGTGGTGGAAGGAGACACAATAGCAGCATTCAAGAAACACCTGGATGAATACATGAATAGGAAGGGAATAGAGGGATACGGATCCTGTAAGTGAAGACAGCTTTAGTATGGAAGAGCAAAATGTGGTGGCGCAGGCTTGTAGGGCCAAAGGTTCTTTTCCTGTGCTGTGTTGTTCTTTGTTCTTTGTTCTCTTTGTTTCGGGTTGTTAAGTGCTATGTGTGCCAGGTCAGCAACAGCCAATATTTGGGTTGACACTTAACTTTTTGAAACGGGTACTATCTGAATATAGAAGATCTTAAATTAGTCATTGGAATGACAAGTTTGTTAACTCTGGCACTCTGACCATTTGGTGGCTTCAGCCCCATCTAGGACTAGCAGTAGACCTCTTACCCCGCGTACCTTAGGGCTCTCGTGATGTTCACAGGACCCTGATTGTAATTTTAAGGCACACATGAACAAGACATTTACTATATACAGTAGGCACATTATGTACTGGCATTGAGCAGCCTAAGCAGCAGTCACAGCTTGCTTCTTATAGATTGGTATTTTTGTGTAGTTCAAAAGGAGGAATCCCTCCTGTTTCCATAAAAACTGGTCCAGGGTCACCCTTCCTGGTCTCCTTGCCTGCCAACCCATGGCCTCTCCTCCACCGTGACCTCCCTGTATTTATTGTTGATATCCCTGAAAACTGGTATTTCTTCGATCCAAAATCCTTGACCTACCTCACAATGTCAAAATCAAATGAAGCCTGGTCCTCAAATTCATTTACATGCACACAAAAGAAAAAATCTACTCCCAAAAATCTTCATGCAGGACGATGAAGGGGGTTTGCTGGTCCATGCTGACATATCTAATGTGCTTTAGTGCTTTTAGAGACTTAATGGGGTCAAATTCTTTTGCATGAAGATCATGATGAGGGATTACTCTGTGCCTGATTGGTCATGCAAACTTGCTTGCATGTTGCTTATTCATTTCCGTGGTTGTACCATGCACTCCTAGTACGATGTTCTGTGAGTAGGTGCACACTTCAACAGGCGGCCAATGCCCACGTAATTAAAGCAGGCCTGCACTGTTTAAAGCCAGACTTAAAAGCGAGGTGCATTCTGGCCGGAGCAAGGGTCGAAAGTGAATGGACAGCATTGCAAAATCATATGGAGGGACCTGAAATTGGCTCAGTAGGCAAGAGAAATGTGTTTTTGAATGCCATGCTGGAGTTGCTGGCCTTGGAGTTAGGCCAGTCACCTCTCTGGACAACTGCTCAGCAGGCAGTAGAAGCAGGCAAGATCCAAAATAGCAATTCATGCATCTGATCAATGTTACGTTCTACCTGATGTCATGATCTTTGTAATCTATAAGCATCCAGCATACACATGCAATACTTGCACTTTCACCGTCAAGAAAATGACAGTCACCATGGGCTGTACTGACCAGTGATCAAGAGACAATGCTTCAGCCACAGTTCAATATTACTGACTCCTTTAACACAGGAGACACCAAATCAATGGATCCAAAATTTGCGGCCAAGAAATTGGTCCACTTAAAAGGGCTAGAGTTTGTTAATATCATCCTGAATGGTCTGCTTTTGGTATAAATATATAGAAAAGGGATTTAACCTTCACATTTTTGTCAGGATAAATGGAATGTTGAGAGAGTGATTTTTGGGTAAATGGATAAACTCATACAAAAATGTTCTTTTTATGTTTAATGTCTGTACAGAATAATGAGAGAAATTGCTGAGAATTTGAAAAGTACATTTTCAAGCAGATAATTTTTCTCCAAAAATATTTTTAATAGTTTTTAAAAAAATGTTTAATTATTTAAAAAAGTTTTAAAATGTTATTGTAGTTTGGTGGAATATCACAGCATCAGTGATAAATCAAAATTGTATCTATTCTGTGGAAGGTAAAATGAAGCTATATAGGGTCATCGTTAATCCTTATGCGGGAGCATTTGCTTTTGTGCTTTGTATATTCTCTAATGTAATGCAAAGTTAATGGATCTATTTCAAATTCATAATATTTGCCGCTCTGTTTTATTTTGAAATTGAATGATGATTAAATATTTTGCATTGATGATAAAATTAGTAAAATCAATTTAGTTAACTGTAAATTGCTTTTAGCTTCTAATACAGAATTAGTGGAGCAACTTGAGGGAGTGCTGATGTCGTGGGCAAAACAAATTGAGCAAGTCTTGGCTGAAAGTGAGCAAATGAGAAAGGAAGCTGATGATATCGGTCCCGCTGCAGAACTAGATCACTGGAAGACTCAAATGGCAAAATTTAATAGGTACATTTTAATATAGTTTCCTTTTATTGTGACATTCAGTTAACTATGACTGACTAACTGTTTTAACCTACACTAAGTGCAGGCAAGAATCAACCCTTTCAGGCCCATGATGGATTGCCCAGGCAGCAATGGATGCTCTTCACAACCAGTAGCCCCTTGCTGGGGCCTGGCTGCCTGGGTTTGCTGACTTCTGACCTGGCTCACTTTGCACTGAGGGCAGTGTCTATCACTGAGACCTCTTGCTGACCGCAGTTCTAGCCGTGGATACCACCCCGGGTGGTATATCTGTGGGCCCCGCTTGGCCAGCAGTACTTGAAGGTGGGCTACTGTCTTTTAAAGGTAACACAATGAGCCTAAAATGTGATCAGACCTTCCCTAAACATTGTTATCCCTAGCTTTCCAGCCTCTGACTGGGATCCCTGCCAACTGACAAAATTTTGCCCACCTTATGCATAAGGCTTAACCCCAAAATTTTTATGTTGCTGCAAGTATTCCGTCCACAATTTTACTAGACTGTTGAACATTCTTTATTTGCAATGGCTGCAGTAGGAGCAGCCTGTCCAATGATTTGCCTTTTCCTTTTGGATAAATATTTTCTTCCTACAGCTATCTTTGCCAAATAGCCAGCTTCCTAAAAAGAGTTGTACCATTTTTCAGGAAAAATGGAAGTGTTTAGGTTCAGCAGTGACCTTTCAGTAGCTGCTATTAATTAGGATCCTCTCTAAGTGCCAAGTGCACAGAAGAATATTTAAATAAGTTGACTTTTCATTATTGTGCAACATTGACTTTGTGTAGTAGTAGTGCTAGAATTGCATTTCTTTACCTTATGCTTGTAATCTTGCTGAGACCCAGAAATTTCATCTTCTAAATACAACTACTTTGACTATATTGTGCTGCTGGATGGATATCCTAGAGCTATATGCTCATTTACATGACGAAAACGAAGTTTCTATTATCTCAGCAGTTTATACATTTTGTTTTGAACTACATTTTATAATTGAAAATCAATTTAAATGTCTGTCCAGAGAATGTATGTTTACAATAGGTGATTAAAAAAGCTTTTATAAGATCCATTGACTGTACTTTCAAAAGGATAAGCCAAAGAGAAACTCCCTCTGCAGTGCGATTTTCAGGAAGCCAGAGTTTAATGAATATGGCCCATGCAGAATAATGGTGAAAAAATAAAATTAAAAAGCTCTTTATTTGAATCCATGAAGTATTCGTAATAAGATAGATAAACGAATGGTACAATTAGGTATATGATTCATATCTAACAATCATCACAGAGACATGTAAACAAGATGGTCAATCATGGGAAATCATAGCCTAAGCATTGAAAACAAAAGCAGAATTTAAATTAAGGAGGAGTAGCCATGATAATTAAGGATGACCGAAGGACAGTAGTAAGAGAGGACCTTGGCTCAGAAGACCAAAAAGTGGAATCATTATGGGTGAATATTAGGAATGAGCATGGTCAGAAAACCCTGAATGAAGTAGTTTACAGCACCACTTAATAGTGTTGTGCCACTGGTCAGAATACGAACCAAGAAATACAGGGAAGAATAGATCTTGTGAGAAAAGTAACATATTAATTACAGGAATTTTAATCTTCAGACAGACTGGGCAAATCGGCAGAGGTACTTTGGAATATACATTGTGGAATGTTTCCCTGACAGTTTTCTGGAACAAATATGTGTTGGTACAGAATTGGTAGGTCGAAGGGCCTGTTCCTGTGCTGTACTGTTCTTTGCTTTTTGTTAATATATTGTGAATTCACCTCAGAATAAAGTTATTTTAGATAATGTTCTGTAATGATACAGTTAACGAGTAATCTCATTTCAAAAGATCCTCTGAGAAAAAGGTTCAAAGTACAATTGCATTCCATATTGTGTTTGAAAATGGCAAAGTTAAATCTCAAACAAGACTTTCTTAAAATCTATTACTTGGCAAGGAGGGGCGCACTAACTAATTTTGATTGCATAAACAGACTAAAAGGTATTGCAGTAAATATACAGTGGGAAACATTTATTTAAATGAATCATGATGTTCAACAGAAATACTATTTAATGACAAAAACAAGAATTCAGTGAGAAAAATCCATTTGTGGTTTGTTAGAGAAGCTAAGAATAGCATTATGCTAATAGATGCTTCTAATGTTTTGAAGTATTGTAATAAGCCTGAGGGGTTTGAAGAAGTTTAGAAACCCAGAAATGCCAAATATAAAACTGATGAAAAGAAAAATAAATAGAAGATGAAAATAAACTAGCCAAGAGACTAAGGGAAGATTGCAAGAGATTTTAAGTACACTGAATTGGATGATCAGCCATGATCATACTGAATGGTGGAGCAGACTCAAAAGTCTGAATGGCCTATTTTCGATCATATTTTCTATTTTTCAAGAGAAATTACTCTTAGGAATGAGGAAATGGAAGAGACATTAAACAAATATATTCGATTCTAGAATTAGATGGTAACCAAGGAGCCAATAAAAAGAGTGAGGAATTTAAAGTACTATCAGCAACAATAAATGTTACAGATACTTAAGAGATTGTTGGCAATAAATCCATAAAACATGATCATCTATATTCTAGGGTTCTAGAAAAGGGATTTGCAGATGATGGGTTCACTGGCTAAGATTCTGTAAATGTCCCAGCACACTGGAAGGAGCCATTATAGGATAGAGTATAAAAATAAGGAACTGTGGGTCAGTTAGCCTGGTATAAGTCACCTGGGAGATGCTAGAATCCATTAATAAAGAAATCTTAACAATGCAATTGGAAAATCAGTCAGATCAGAAGATGTCATCATGATGCTAAGAAAGAAGATTTGTTTTGACAAATTTATTGGAGCATTTTAAGAACGTGACTGATATCTTATACACTTGGAATTCCAAAAGTATTTAATAAGGTGCCGCAAAAAAGGGTTAATAAATAAATTAAGGGATTTTGTAGTTGAGGGTAATATAAGCATCAGTAGAGACTGGTTAATAGACAAGTAGCAGAAAGTTAGGATAATTGGGCATATTCAGGTGGTGGACTGACTAGTGTTGTGTCACAAAAATCAGTGCTGGAATCTAATTACAATCTATATTAGTGACTTCAACAAAGAGACCAGGAGTAATGGATGTTAGTCTGCTGATAATGCAAAGATAATTAGGATTCAAACTGTGAGGAGGGCAGAGGCTGCAAGGAGATGTGGATAGATTTAATAAGTGGGCAGTTAAATGGCAAATGGAGTATAGTGCTGTTACTTAAAGTTGCTACTTTAGTTGTATGACTAGAAAAGTGGAATATTAAAAGGTGTGAAGTTTGTAAATGATGTGAAAGACTTGGACATAAACAAGGAACACGGAAAGGATGGTGTTGTTGTAGCCTGCTGTATCGACCTCTACATTGCAGAGGCTGAGCGCCGGCTCTCAGATACTTCCTTCTATCTCCCCTTGGACCATGACCCCACCATGGTACAAAAGGCCATTGTATCAACTATGGTCACTGACCTCATTTCATCTGGTGATCTCACCCCCACTACCTCGAAGCTGATAGACTCTTGACCTGCACAGCTCGCTTCCACCTCCTTCAGAAAATCCACGAACAGGCATGCTTGGGCAGACCCATTGTTTCAGCCTGCTCCTGCCCCATAGAATTCATCTTTTCCTACTTTGACTCAGTCTTTTCTCCCCGGTCCAGTCCCTGCCCACGTACATCTGCGATTCTTTTGACGCTTTATGCCAGCTTTGGAATTTCCAGTTTGCAGGCTCCAGCCACCTCCTCTTTACAACGGATGTGCAATCCCATCCCCTTCCAGGACTGTCTCAGGGCTGTCTGCTTCTTACTGGAGCAAAGGCCTGAACAGTCCCCATCTACCACCACCCTCCTCCACCTTGTTGAGCTCGTCCTCACCCTCAACAGCTCTTTGAATTCCTCTAATTTTCTTCAGGTCATAGGGGTGGCCATGGGTACCCGCATGGGCCCAGTTATGCCAGTCTCTTCATGGGGTATGTGGAACATTCCTTGTTCTAGTCCTATTCCAGCGTCCACATACAACTTTTTCGCTGATATAGCGATGATATCATTGGTGCTGCTTCCCTCTCTTCTCCAGAATTGGAAAAGTTCATCCATTTCACTTCCAATTTCCACCCCGTCCTCATTCTCATCTGGTCTATCTCTGACTCCTCCTTTCCCTTCCTTGACATCTCTGTTTCCATTTCTGGAGATGGACCACTAATATCCACTATAAACCCACTGACTCCCATAGCTACTTGGACTATACATCCTCACACACTGCTTCTTGTAAAGACTGTATTCTCCCAGTTCCTACATCTCCATCGCATATGTTCTGATGAGGCCAACTTTGACAAGGGAGCATCCAAAATGTCCAGTGTCTTCCTCAACCGAGGATTTCACAGCACTGTTGTCGACGGGGCCCTCAACTAGGTCTGGCCTGTCTCCCACCCTTCGACCCTCATCCCCTCTCTTCCCTCCCATACCAGCGATAGGGTTCCCCTTGTCCTTACCTACCATCCCACCAGTATGCACATCCAGAAGATCATCAGCCACTATTTCCGCCACCTCCAGCGAGATGCCACTGCCAGACACATATTCCTCTCCCCTCCCTTGTCTGCCTTTTGCAGGGACGTTACCTCCGGGACACCCTGGTCCACTCGTTCTTCACTCCTAACATTCCCCCATAGCACCTTCCACTGCAACTGGCAAAGGTGCAATACCTGCCCATTTACCTCCTCCATCCTCAGTATCCAAGGGCCCAAACATACCTTCCAGGTAAAGCAGCACTTTATTAGCATTTCTACACAATCTAGTCTATTGCTGCTCACAATGTAGTCTCCTCTATACTGGGGAAATGAAGTGTAGACTGGGTGACCACTTTGCAAAACACTTTGCAGCTTCCAGTTACCTGCCACTTTAACACACCACCCCGTTCCCTGGCCAACATCTCTGTCTTAGGCTTGCTGCAGTGTTCCAGTGAAGCTCAGCACAAGCTGAAAGAACAACACCTCATTTTCTGCTTGGGGACCTTGCAGCCCTCTGGACTCAATATTGACTTCAATTATTTTATAGCCTGAACTCTCCCATGTCCTAGCCCCCTACCCTACACACCAGACCTTGTTATCACACAGTCTGCCATTATGCACCACCTATCGTTTGCCACTAATAGTCCCCATTAACAGCTATTCACCCTCCTAGCCAGATTGTTATCCATTCCTTTGTCTGTCCAACTGTTCTTCTGTCTCTTTGGGCTCAATCCCCACCTATCGTTTATTCCTTAACCCCCTCTCCAACCCTATCTTCTGCATATAAAGCAACATTTTCCCAGCTATCATCAGTTCTGAGGAAGGGTCACCGGACCCAAAACATTAACGCTGATTTCACTTCACAGATGCTGCCAAACCTGCTGAGTTTTTCCAGCAATTTCTGTTTTTGTAGCACAGAAAGCATGTAGGTGTACAGGGCTTTGCTGAGTTCACACCGTGAATACTGTGCACCATTTTGGTATCTATCTAAGAAAGGATATACATGCATTAGTAATGATACAAAGAGGATTCACTAGATTGTATCCAGGGAAGACAGGGTTGTTCCATATTGAGCAGCTGGATTAATTGAGCTACAAAATTTGGAAGACTGAAAGGTAAACTTATGGAAACATATCAGACTCTGAAGGGGCTTGACAGGATAGACACTGACGTTTTTTTTAACCTCTGGCTGGGGAATCTGGAACACGGAACACAGGCTAGGATATATTTTTCATTTAGAAATGAGATGGGGAGAAATTTCTATACTCAGATGGTGGGGAATCTTTGGAATTTAATACTCCAGAGTGTTGTGACGCTTCATTGTTGAGAATATTCAAGGCTGAGAGATTTTTAGTCTCTTAGAGAATTAATACATTATGGGAAGGCAGAGTGGAGATGGGGTTGAGGCAGAAGCTCAGTGATATTTTTGTACTCAGTAGTATTTAGTGTTGGAACAGGCTTGAAGGGCTGTGTAGTCTACTCTTGCTGCTGTTGTTTTATATTTTTATGTTCAGAGTCCTCTGCAACGGAGAGCATCTGCAAAGTTGCTATCATGTCAGGTGGCAAATGAGCTATCACTTCTCCTTGGTCTGGCACTTTTGCCTGCTGATTCACCACATGTTGATCCCAACTCTGTGCTTGTCTCTGAGGTACAGGCTGTGCCAGCATTTGAGCTGTCACCTGTAAGCATATGATTTGCTGCAGCTATCTTTCTGTACTTCCTTTGGCTCCTTTGGCTGAGTGGGCAACATTTAATAGGTGTCTGAAAGTTGAACAGCGGTATGGAAAAGATGAGTGAGGGAAAATGGGTGGACTGGGAAGCAAGAAGTCTCTGGTCACAATTTCTGAATTCTATACACCATTCCTGATAATAGGATCAGTGTATGCCAGGAGTTAATGAGCAAAAAAGAGATTCTCTCATCCTTAATGCTCTCAGACCCCGCGAGGCCTATTGTAACTGGCTCAATGGTGTGCAGATCACTGCCTCTGTGGGAAATGCAGATGGGTTTATACATTCTGCTTTGCTCCATTTTGTTGTCTGCCAGCTTGGCCTGCAAAAGGGAGGGAGAGCAGAATTTCAGTGATTATGCAGGATTGTGCTTAGGTGATCTCCCTTCTATAAGTTACCAACTGGAGTGGTTGAGAGGCTAACAGCATTGGTCAGCATGTGAGAGTGAGAGGAAATGTACAGGCCACTGGATCTGCTCCACCAATAGACCATTGGTGATACATTTCTCAATCCCATTCTCCTGCCTTCTCCCATAACCTTTGATCCCCTTAAGAACTTATCTGTCTCTGTCTAAAAGACACTCCACAGTCTTGTGTGGCAATGTGTCCTGCAGATTCACTACCCTCTGGCTGAAGAAATTCCTCCTCATCTCAGTTCTAAAGGATCTGCCCTCAGGTCCTAGTTTCTACTGCCATTGGAAAGATCTTCTTGACAACCACTCTATCCAGGTCTCTCAGTATTCTGATAGTTACACCCTTCTAAATTCAGTACACATGCAGAGTCCTCAACCATTCGCTAAATGACAAGCCCTTCATGTCCTGGATCATTCTTGTAAACCTCCTCTGGACCCCCTCCAATGACAGCACATCTTTCCTTAGATATATGGTCCAAAAATGCTGACAATATTCCAAATGCAGTCTGACCAGAGCTTTATACAACCTTAGCAATACATGTCTGTTCTCGTATCCTAGGCCTCTTGAAATGAATGCCAACATTGCATTTGTTGAACATTGTCTAATGTTTGTCTAACATTGCAACTGCCACTGAACTTGCATGTTAACCTTAAGAGAGTCCTGAATGGGACTCCTAAGTGCCTTTGTGCTTCAGATTTCCAAAGCTTTTGACAAAGCTGTGCTGACGCAGCCCTATATCACCATACTATCTATGCAATCACATCCTTAATAATGGACTCTAAATTCTTACTAACGACCAAGGTCAGACTAACTGGCTTAAAGTTTCCAGTCTTCTGCCTCTCTCCCTTCTTAAACAGGAACGTTACATTAGCCACTTTCCAACATTTGGGACCATCCTGACCCCAGGTTACAATTGTATTTGTTCTTTCAACCATCTGTCCAAATATAATCTCTGAAAATCCTTGAACTGTAATCTCAGTGTAAAAGTTATTTGGACTACACCATCACTGAGCATGTTGAAATGCAAGTGAGTCTCTGTTCTTAACCAGTGCTTTCACCAGATTTAATGATGGAACCATGAGAAATTCCATGTCTTAATATCACTAAATCCTTATTTGGAAATATTCTACTGTCCAAACCATTTTGCCACCTTACAGTTTTGCAACAGCATCAAGCTGCAACTTTGTAAAGTTTCATGCATTTGAATTTGAATCTTCAAATGTGCCTTTCAGCAACTTCATTTTTTTACTTTTTTCAGCCTTCTTGAGCAGATTAAGAGCCCTCAAGTGAGAAAAGTGATAGGCATTCTTCAAGTTGCAAAGTCCAGGATATTGAAACATTGGCGAAAACTGGTAATTTTCACCCTTCATACTCAGTTGGTTAGCAAGTATATTGTACACTTTTAAAAAAATATATATGTAGAGTAAGTATTGAGTATTTATTCAGTAATGTTCTGCTTTTGGAAATAAATTCCTTCTAAGCATTGTTTCTCATTTTTCTTAGGACAGCAATATTACTGATGCAGCCAATGAAGCTAAGGATAATGTGAAATACCTGTACACACTGGACAAATTCTTTGGGCCTCTTATGAAGTGTACACCTGTAAGTTTAATATTCAAATTCATTCTACTCCTGCGTAATATAAATCATAAAATATTCACTGCACAAAAGGACACAATTCACTCCACTAACTACATGCTGGTTTTCTGTAAAACAATCCAGTTAACTTCACTGTTCTGTGGCTATCACCCTGCAAATTAATTTCCAGGACAGAAAAACAGAACAGTGAAGTTAACTGGATTGTTTTACA